TACTTCAAGTTACAAATATTGGCTGGTGATTTATTATTAAACATGTACCCATTTTAACGTTTTGTAAAGTGCATATAGAGGGTCTGTAATTTGGCACAAGGCACTCAATAAATGTTGTGGTATTTATTATCATTATTTTTAATATGAATACGGCATTTACGTTAAATCACTGATGCCCTATTTGATGGTCTTATTTTGAAGGAATTTAAGTTGTACTGTACAGTTGCATATCAGTAATTTCAAAACACTGATGTTTATTGTAATTTAACAAATTAATTTAACTCCATACATTGGACAATATACAATTATTACTGTTTGTAATTACCTAGGCCTACTTCTGATGAAGCAACATACAACACGGGATCATGGAATCCCAAAATTGTCATATATTATAATTTATTAATAAAATATATTAAACTTGGTCAATGGAAATTTAATCATTCAATTTTTATTGCAAGTGCTGGAGATATTATTGTTATTATGAGCCTACAGTACAGTAAAGTTAAATATTTTTTTGTTTTTTCTTACGAGAGAACACTGAGTGGTATCATGGTGTCCAACCAGGCAACAAAGGGGAGAACCTGATCCACCTGATCTTAAGGCCTTCCAAAATGGCTGAAAATGCGAGAGTGCCGAAAAGCCTATACATTTTTAACAAACCTTGTTTCAAGCATTTTTACCTCATATTCTGTCGCAATGGCCGCCAGATCAACTTCTGAGAAGGTTTCATCCATTGTGCTGTCAATTCCCTCATGGAGGATATCAGGAAAATCTAGAAATTTAAAAAACACTTTGTTAAAATGAGTATGAGATCATATCCAAAAACGAGGACCGAATTATTTTCTTATCAGTCTAAACAAATGGATGGTTCTTCCCAAAAATATTACCTTCAAAATGGTGTTCTATCTGATATGAAAAACTGGTTGACGAAGCTAAAAATAAAATAGACGTAGATTTCAATGTGTGCAGAGCCTGGCAGAAATGCACGTACATGTTAAGTACCAATTACGAATGATTGTGAGTTATGGGATGGTCTTTACAAAGCATCATCACGGGAAAGTTATTATCTATTTAAAAGAAAAATGAAAGCAACCTTATCAAACGAGCAATCTCTTGTTAATGAATTAAGTTTTATAGACATTAGTGGAAGAGCTATATGTAATAATGCAATAACATTGCTGCAGAGGATTCCCTGAGGACAAATAAGCTCAGAAGGCATACATAGAAAAATATTGCAAGCATGGACATTTTTACGAGCACTTCTCACTCTTGAAGACTGAAAATGAAACTCATTTAGATGACGTTTGCTTACAATGCAACAAAATTTAGAAATGTCACTCTAAACTAAGTGGTAGATTTGCAAAATATATAAATACATACAGTAGATGGAAATATCTGCTTACAATGCAACAAAATTTAGAAATGTCACTTTAAAATAAGTGATAGATTTGCAAAAAAGGTATTTGTGCAATATATAAATATATATGGGGAAACATCTGCTTACAATGCAACAAAATTTAGAAATGTCACTCTAAAACTAAGTGGTAAATTTGCAAAAAAGTGTTTGTGCAATATATATATATATACATATATATATATATAAGTGGAAACTAGAGTGACATTATCATAATTTTGGTTGGCTCTTAATAATAAATATGCTGAAATACAGTTGGTCGCATTTAAAAATCAATTGTTTTCAAATTCCTGGATCCTCCACTGATATCATATCATATTTTGTTGTTAAAAACATTTAGAATAAAATGACAAACAAGATTAAAAAAACGGGCACATCTGAAATTCCACAACAGAATTGGCGACCAGGACACAAGAAGTCCCCCAAATTAGAAACACACCGGCCCCAGCATTACGCCATTTTTTCAGTGTAAACTTTGTCTATGGGTTGGCATATGGTTTTATTAGAACAATTCTAAAAGTTTGATCACAAACAAGTATAATTTTTGTACCACTCCTTGTTAGTACTTGAAACAAACTATTGGTGTTTTATTTCATGTTGCTACAAAAAAAACCCACTATTATTGTGATAGTTGATATCTTAAATAGGGTTTCCAAAATCATTGCATGGATGGATTTAGACACAGAAAAAACTGTTATCAACATGATTGAACTAAATCTAAACTGGATTCCTGGAAACCAAATGATTTTAAATTCTGATGATCATGTTATTTCATAGGGACCCAAATTTTAATCATACAAAATATTGGCAACTCAACAATATAGTTGATTTTCTTTGTCCCCAAATTATATTTTGAAGGATAACAATAACATTGAAACATTATCATCAGATAATAAAAGTAATGAACTGTCAATGTTGAGCCAAAATTAGTCCCAAAATGTACAAGAAAAATTGATTATCAGTATTATTAATTGTGTGACAATTTTTTCCGAATCATCCAACACTTCGGAAAGTATAATACCCGAGGTCTATAATAACAAACTCAAAAAAAAAAAGACTTGAACTGCAACAAACATTTGAACAAATGAATTCCTGAACTGACAGTGACAGATTAAAATTGTAGGCATCCAGAAAAGTGGCTGAAAAGAGTCTAAGAAACAATTACTGTACTTGATGACAGTTCATCCATTTCATCAAACAAGACCTGCAGCTCTTGTACAACAAAATCAAAATAAACCTTTACTGTCATCAGTAAGCCTGTAGAAAATCATAAAGTCTGCTGTGTTAATTGAAATAATGGTAACCTACTGTGGATTCTTCTACTGAATGCAAATGCAGCAACAATATTTACTTGTAAACAGTACTAGATGTCAATATTCACAACACAGAGAGAGTGTACATGATTATGAAAGCAGTCCACAGGGCAACCAACACTAGGGGCCCAAGGGTCTAATGGGTCACACAGAGGCCTGAACCACAGAGAAGCTGAATACTGGTGGCTGAAATAACAGAGCTGAGCCTGTTAAATATTATTTTTTATACTTTTTAACGAGACAATACTGCTTAAATATTTTTGTGCTGTGATATGAATTTTTTTTTTGAAATTTATCAGTTCGGTGTTGATCCATATGAATAAAAAGCTATGATATAATGATATAGGCTTATGGAGTACTTGAGACAATTTGTTGGAGAGATAAACCTTAGCATTCAAAATCTTAATTCAAAATTGTCAGAGCTTCTGGGGGATTTTCCCCATGGACTCCCATCCAAAGGTTATGGGATATCGCCTCTCCCCTGCCATCAGGCGAATCTTGGCGCCACCACATTTATTTTGCGATGATTATACACAAATAAAAATCTTTAAATAAGATCTTTAATAAGCAAGAAATAGTGAAGTGTCTTCTGCTTTTGACAAAATATTTAATCAATGTTATGTTTGCAAAAAATTATAATGAATGTAGAGTCTTAATATGGTACTGTAGTAAAATTAAAAATAGAGCAGAATTTGACATTTCCAAAAAGCTTCAAATGTCTTTGCCACCAACAGTGGATTTTGGCCACAGTATCTCTGAGTTTCACATAGGTAGGGCCTACATAAAGTATAGCAAAGTTGCTTCAGTTTTGAAATTATCTTTGGCCTGTGATATTCTCTTTAAAAATAATTTGGCCCTTCAAAAATAATTTGGCCCTTCAAATATATTAAGAGCAAGGGCTCTTTATACACTACCAAAAAGCAAAGTACCTGTCAATACCTTTCTTGTCTTGAGCTTTTTCTTATGACCTGCTTTAATGTTTACATTGTGATTTGACATTCTAAATGATGACAATACTGTTTGATATCCATATGCAAAATACAGTTTAATAGAATACATTTGAATTTAGAATATGTAGTTCAACCACCATTAATTGACTACAGTATGTACTGCATACCAAATTTTTTGGTCAATATTTGGTTTGAAATCTGAATGCCAATAGGTTGTTTTGCCTTGATTGTACCATGCCAAGCTTTAACAAAACGTAAAATAGTGTTACACAAGTAGCATTAGCCCAGCATTCATTTATTATCAATGCACAGTAATTAGGCACTGTCAATCTTAGCTCTCATTTCACCTTCCTAATTTCCCTTGGTAACATTTAACATTTACTATGTTACTCTTTTGGTTTTAAAAAATACAATTTATTTGAACATGCCCATAGCAAAAATTGAAATCTATAGCTGTTTTAGCTTATCTTAATAGACAACCTACTAAATGCCTATCAATATGCAGATATTTTGTAGTTCTTAAGTAGATTACAGTAGCATATTTCGCGAGTAAAAGTCAATTGTACCAAGGAGGTATCCTTGATTGTACATTATATATGGGAATGGACTGACTTGTATAGCGCATTACACAATCAAGAAAAGATACGAATATGATATGAATATGAAAAAGAAAAAAAGAAAACTAACCCATGAACTATCCTAAAACGAATCAGAAACAATTTACCAAAGAGTCAAAGAATTGTCTTAGATGGCGCTTCCGTACAATTGACTTCCTAATTTTAAGCAATTTTTAAGCTAAGCAATATGGATCAATTTGACTTTAGCAAAAAAAATGGACTTAAGACGAATTTAAGCTGATTTTTAGTTTGATAAATCTGGCCCCTGGCGACTAACCTAACATCCCGAAGGAAGAAACAAAAAATCCTGAATGAAGCTTTAATACTTTTGTTAACACTAAACAAAACACTTTTTTTTTTTTTTTCTATTTCTAGGCATATTTCTGTCTCTGCTTTTATAAATAGGGATAATTATGCAGCTTTTGACCAATGTGATCAGAAAACATTCTTGTCAGAAATAATAGCAAATAGTAGAGGTCACCCTCTAATTGAAGACCACTTTCTGGACCAGGTTTTGGTCTCTAATTAGAGTCCCTCTAATTTAAGGCCGGCACTAAAAGTGGTCTTTAAGTATCTCTGTTTAGAGGGAAATTAAGAAATGATATAGTATTAAAATGTAAGATTGTTTTATTCAAAGTATTTTTAAAATGGATGTACAGTTACTGTTACTGCTGTTGATTCTTAATATACGATTTTCCGGAAGTCACACATCAAGTCCTGTGCTCATTCTACCTAAACCATTAAAATATTATTAACAACACCTGTCCTAATAGAGCACTTTTACACAAAATATTATCTTACGTTGTGTACCATTTTCATGTACATCTATCATCATATCATCTTCATTTAAAATGCATTAAAATCACTACATATTTTAATGTGAATGAATGAAACATTCTTAGTTTAGGTCTGCCAAAACCATGATATACAGTATACAGTATATTATGTTTAAATGTTTTCCTCCAAGTGCTTTAGAATGGATTACTGTATTGCTACTGATTCATTAAAAAACCTTTTCTCAGTAGCCACATATATCAAGTCCTGCAATTGTCTTATCTAAATATCCATTTAGTTATAAAAATACAAACTTAAACATCCTACTACACTATTGATATTCAATATGGGGCACTGTATACACAAAACATTGGATTTTGATGTACATTATTTTGATGTCCGTAAAAAAAAAAATTCACTAAAACCACTATATATTTTAAAAGTACATAGTAGAAAAGTTTGTTTGGTCTGCCAAAATTATGGTCCTTGGTGTCTAATAGAATCCTTATAATTAAAGGTTTGCCAGGTGCATCGCTACATCCAAGTTTAGCGACAGCCCATTGTAATGCATATGATTGGGATGGTTCTAGACAAGTTCTTTGCATCATTACCACTAACAGAAGATAGGTTGCATGTTGCATGTTGTCTCTCTCAGTTATTTTCTTTATGTAATGTCAGAATTGCAGTGGTATAGTTCAGGTACAAGTTTTGATAGATTTTTCATAATATAAATATGTTTAGAAACCACTACAATGAGATGGGACAGCATTGGTCAGGGGCAGCTAAAGCAAAGGTTTACTGAAACTCATTAAGAAGCCAAAAACCGGCCGTGCTTGACGAAAATCGACTGTGTTTGTCAACTGACTGTGCCTGGAATCAGAGTGTGCTTGAAAATCGACTGTTTTTCAAAGTTGATCTTTTTGCGTTCCATATAAAACCTGGATGCGGAAGTATGTACGTATATGTTGC